ACACTTAGACAATACTGTCCATCGCTTGTTTATTGATTTTCTTAGAGCGGGCGCGCACCTTTGACTATGGCACAATTGTCGTGCGATTGTCAATTGTTTCGCAGCCCATTCAACTATTTAGTTGCACAACTAAAAATCGAGTAGTTTGCACACCTTTATATAAGGAATCAAAGAGATACTATTCAGTTGTGCCATAGTTTAGTCAAAGAAGCGCGCGCTGTTATTAACTCTTACACCTCTGGTAACACTGTCATATGTTATTGATTACTAAGGGAGATCCTTATTGCAGCTTTAGTGTATAAGATTTGCTATGACTCTGCGTGTTGCTATAAGAGTTGACGTATGTTTAAGATCAAATGTATTTAAAAGAGTCTGAGGGCCTGTCCCACCATATTGTAAAATGTCTGATAAAAATCCAACGTGTGAAATATGTGATGGTAATATCAGATATTGTTACCTTGGCAGTGACGTAATTTTAAAGCTATCTGATCCTCTATCTGTTAGTGGTGGGACAGGCCCTAAGTATTGGTATTAGAGAGTCTGTTAAAATTACACATGTTATATTTATTTTTATCTAAATAAATCATTGCGCTCTGTTTCCATTATTTCGCAGTAACTTTACACTGTTGTAACTTGATGTTAGTGACGTAATGATGACGTAAATGCACCGTAGTTTGCGGAAATAAAAAAGTACAGAACAAATTCGCTACTTGATTGCTGCTTGCTTAACTGTAGATACTAATCTAGTTTGGTAATTTAAAACAGTGCCATCTATCGGCCAAAAATATATCTTATAATTTAACATACTATTATTTTTTTCTTCAATACGCAGTCTTTTGTATAAAAGGCTTAGCTGATAGAAAAATGCAGTTAATTATTTTTTTACTGAATTAAATGTCGAAAAAACTAAGTCATAAACTTTATATTACTAGATTGTCGTCAGATTATTAAATTGAATAATGTGCGAGAGAGACAAAACATTTAAATAAAACAAGACGAAAACAATGTAAAAGTGGGACGAGGCATTAAGCATATGACTTAACGAGCGTACATGTTTCACCTTGAACGAAATTCACATAATGCAATATCCTATATGGTCAAACAATGATCAGCCATTCGTGTGTACGACCAATTAAAGTATCTGTTAGTGCATAATATTTAACAGACTTCTTTGTATGTTGCCGTCAATGTGCCGACGGACAACTTTTTTTATTTTTTTTTATAACATTTGTTGGCAAACGAGCAAGCGGCCAACTGAATCCGCATAATGGCGAAGCCACCGCTGCCCATAGATATCCGCAATTGCAGATGCGTTGCCTACCCTTATACGACGGAAGAGGAGACGCACATGAAGAGGTTATTTCCCCTTCCTATGCTTCTCCTCCACCGTCAAATCCACTTCCCCTTCGCATCCTCTCTTTATAAGAAAAGCGTGGTAAAGAGAAAGGTAGATTTGATGGTGGAGAGACGTGTAGGACGAGGAAATATCCTCGTTATGTGCCTCTCCAGGAGGAGAGGCACATACACCGTCGATTAAGAGTAGGCAACGCATCCGCCATCGCGAATGTTTATGGGCAGCGGTCGCTTCGATATTTTGGTGGATTCAGATGGCCGCTTGCTACCATATAATTTATAAAAAAAATGTGAACACCATCAATCTCTCTAGACATTTGTAAGCTGACTGTATCTTATTATGGGAACGAATCATTGCGATAGTGTGTTTTGTCAGCTTATATAAAGTATAGACTGACAAACTTATCTCATTAGGACATAAATGATATTGAAATGGAATAACTTACTACTTACTTAACTTATTTACTGCCTCCTTTTGAATATGAGGATCATAAGATGCTCGTCCTACTGCAGCTTGCAGCTGTCGCGGGGAAAAAGCTGGTTGTAATATCTAAAATACAAATACGAACATCTCCATTATTTAAAACGTTAGCAAGTAAATCTTAACCGAAATAGCAGATTTAAAGAAACATAACAATTTAATAAAAACCTTCTCTTTTAAGATTCATAGATCTATTAAATCTAAGTGAAACGCTTTTAGAACAACTTCTGTCCAAGATAAATTGACCTCAGAGTGTAATCTCACAATTTATTGCGTATTTAAGAGTACTTACACGAATGTAAAGTGTGATAATATGTTGATACGGCGATTTATTTTTCATTGAAATCCACACCCCTTCTCATTTATCGCCGCTAGCGTCTGGAAAAAATAATTATTTATTTATTATTACAGAATAAAGAATTTTACGCAATTCTTGCGAATGCTTGGTCTATTAAAACAATCGTAGTTATAAAACTATTGTTCGTTCGTTTGTTGTCGTCGGATTCAACTAGCTTCTACGGAAAAAGTAGTTACCGCCAGTGACACCGTCCGCGCGGAATAAAAAAAAAACAAAAACAAAAGCCTATGTGTTCTTTCAGACAATCCTCTACATGTATACCAAATTACATCAAAATCGATTCAGCCATTTTGCCTACAAACTCTAACAAACATCCATCCATCCATCCATCTAAATTTTCGCATTTATAATATTAGTATGAAGTATGATGAGTATGAAGTACGAGAGACCGTCTATTTTTTTTTTCTTAAAATTGTATTACCCAATGTATGTTGTTGGTATAATTCAATAAATAACTAAAATGATCGTTTATTAACTATTGAAATTATTTATCGAGTATTTAAAATCATAAATTAACATACAATATGAAGTCTTGACTCAAGTTGATGTAAACATAACCTTTGTAACTAAAAACATAATTATGAATACATTTTTCACAACTTACCTGTAATTTTTGCACAGTAATTGATTTTTTACTGAAATTGCGTCATACGAACTGTCAAATACATTATGACGTAATCAGTCTTACGCAATCACGTTTTAATATTTTATGGCCTGTCACACTGGCTGGTAGAGGCTCAGATAACTTAAATGACGTCACTGTCAGATAAGGTAACAAAATCCGATATATCCATCAATTATTTTACACGTTCGATTATTATCAGACAATTTACAATTTTGTGGGACAAGCCCTTAGTATTTTATTATTTCAAATATAAAGTGTACAAATATAGTTCATATAAAATTTTCAATTGAACATTTTGTAGTTTTTTTAATACTTTATTTATGACTACCGTCAGAAACAGCTTTAACACAGACTATATTCGTAATTAAAAACGCAAAAAACGCTCATCAGATACGATTTCCTGATAAAAAAAACAAAATGATATCATGTTAAGGTAATCGATGTTTTATATATTTAACTAGCTTTTGCCCGCGACTGCTTCCGCGAGGTTTAAAACAAACTTAATAATCTGTGTTCCAGATTATTTTCTACATTAGTGCCTTTCATCGAGGTCAGCCATTTTGGTGACGTATAATTTAATCCGTGGTGGTAACAATCCATCCAAACGTTCATAACATTAATATGATTTTTGTAAAGAAATATGACAAGGTAAGCTAATTAAGGTTTTGATAGACGATATTGCGTTTTATTTAATTCAATTCAACGGTTGAGTTAATAGATTCACCTTGATGTAAAGGCCAAGGTCAAAACGTGTGTGTGTGTGTGTGTGTGTGTAAGAATTTTTGAAATCGGCCCAGTAGTTATTGAGTTATTAAAACATATACAAACATACAAATCTTTCCTCTTTATAATATTAGTATATTAAGCTTTGTCTTGAATCACTCTGTCTGTAAGCTGCATCAAATTGCGTTATGTAATTATAAGGTTATAACGTTACTGAGTTAATGACGTTACTCTCAAAAAAGACGATTTTACAAAATCACTTACCTAGGAATATTAGTTATAAAGATTAGTTAGAAGAGAACACAGGGATAGACAGATAAAAGGAAGCAATTTTTTTACTATGTAGTAAATCTAATTGTGTTTAAAATGTTTTGGCGTTTAACTTCAGGTAAATTTAACCAATTGAATGTTTTAGTATATTTCTTAGTAAATTTTATTTTATTGTTTACATGTGTCAAATAATCAATTGCAAATGTCAAAATACCAATTACCGTACTATGGCAATTTTGTTTTCCTGATGTTGGCAGCAACTTATGGTCTCTTTTCCACATTAGTTTTTATTCAAAATATTTACCCCCTAAGTTTAATGGAGTTAAAATATATAGCCTAAAGCATGACGTAAGTGTAGGGCTTTTTATTAAAAAAAAGAATTATTCAAAAATATGCTGTAATTGCTGACATCTTAGGCATCAAATAAGTGTGTGTTTACGCTTTATTATAATAGTATAGATATAGATATAGAAGTAAAGATTTCAAATTATTTATATTATTTTAAATTAAATACTCACGTAATCTGTCATTCGAGGTTTTACATAAAATAATCAATTTATTTTATTTCATAAAAAACTGACTCTCGTCAGCTAAGGTCTTGCTTTGTAATTATTAGTTTGAACTCCATTATTAATCTTTTGTAACAAAACACATCTTAGACTGTGTTTTTCCATTACCCTCGTACTTTGACCCGTTTCAATGTAATCCGCGAGATACAAAATGTTTTTTTGTCCGTAATGGCAATGACGTTAAAAGTTTTTTAGTCTGTTGAACGTAATGATGATTACAAGTTCTTTTAGGTTAGGTTTTTAAAGTATGAACCGATTAGTTGTGGAAGTTTTGTAACATAAAGTTTTTTTTTTAAGAATATGACAATTAACTAGCTGTTGCCCGCGACTTCGTCTGCGCAATATTAAGATAAAAAGGTAGCCTATAATATGCCCGTCTATGTCAACTACCCTTCAGTGAAAGTCCGGTCGAAATATGTTCAGCCGTTTCGGAGATTACGGCAGACAAAAAATTTGATATTGCAAACAGATATTCCAATGTTTAACAGACATTCCAAAAATTATTATATGTATATAGAAGATTGTCATATTCATTAGTTCTGTAAATTTACAATAGATGGCGTTGTCTTGCGTATGCAATATGTAATCACGATATTGTTTAACACATTTTTCTTGTTGCAGGAACAATGCCGGCGTACGACAATGAGGGCGCCACCATATCTATGGAGGATGTACGGAATATAGATGAACCGATCACTATTAGTACGATAGAAGAACAGTTAAATGCTAGAAGGGTACGACAGTTGAAGCCTCAGAAGTCGACTATAGCTTCGAGGAAGCAGCAAGCGGTGTGCGTTAGACGAGCTCACAAGAAATATGGACCAACGAAGAATCCTAATGTTATACTTGACGGATTGAATATGACTGTACCTAAGGGAGCTATGTAAGTTTATTTAATTCATGTAGAATACAATATTCTAGTTAAGTGTACCGGCGGTGTGGTAAGGCGTGGAGGGGCGGCTGGGCTCGGGACTTAAAGCTATGGCGTCCCTTTGTTCCTTTATACGAGGTTTGGGGATGCCGGTAATGTTATAACAGGCACTGTGGACTGTAGATCCGCATGCCATTAATTTAAATAACACAGGCATTTGTTTCCTCGTTGTATAAGTATTTTTTCATTAGGCAAGAATAAACTGCAGGCAACATTATAAACACATTTAGTTCTTAAGGTCCGCACTCTGGTTTTAATTTAATTGCTCATTAGGGGAAATTTACACTTTATTTCTTACAACATTCATTTAAATATTCATTGTAAATTTTTTTATTGCCGTAACATGTACAACATTCACAGGGGAACAGATAGATTGAGCGGTCGCACACCTTTGACTAACCAATCGCAAAACAGTTGTGCGATTGTCGATTGTTTCGCAGTCAATTCAATTGTTTACTTGCACAACTAAAAATCGAGTATTGTGCGCACCTACATATAAGCTCGTAGGAATCAAAGTGCAACTAAACAGTTTGATATTTATAACGTACTTTTATTTACAGTTACGGTCTTCTTGGAGCATCTGGGTGTGGGAAGACGACTCTCCTATCCTGCATCGTTGGCAGACGTCGACTGAACAGTGGAGAGATATGGGTACTGGGTGGAAAGCCAGGAGGACCGGGCAGTGGTGTGCCGGGGCCCAGGATAGGGTACATGCCACAAGTAAGTTGACAAACGCGTATTTAGAAACTGTAGACTTGAATTATTGAACGACATGTCACTGATTCACATATGATGTCGAAAATATTGCCCTCTCATCACTCAATGACAATATAGGTCTATTCCGCGTTGACGAGAGAGTTAGATAACCTCTAAATTATGAGTCTTTTTGTATTTATATACTAGCTGTTCTCTTGCGGCTTCATCCGCATGAAATTATAAGAACTTTATGTTATTGTCATGCAAATGCAAAATTGACAACGAAGGCTTGATGTTTGATAACAATTACCGTTACTATGACAATGATTTGTTGCTAATGACTTATTTTCCCCTAAGTTTACTAGCGTGAAAATATAAAGCCTAAAGCGTGTCGTAAATGTAGGGCTTATTATAAAAGAAAGAATTATTCGAAAACATACTGTGATTGCTGACATCATACATAACTAAGTAGTTAATGTTTACGCTTTACTATATTAGTATGTATAATAGACTAGCTGTTCCCGTACGGATTCATCCGCATAAAATTATGAAAATTTTATTTTATTGTTTACATTGGTCAATTTATCAAATGGAAAGGTCAATATGACGAGACATGACAAACCTTACCAATCTTGCTTTCTTGATGTTGGCAGCAAGTTATGGTCTCTTTCCCACATTAGGGTTTTTATCCAAAATATTTACCCCCTGACTTTAATGTCGTGAAAATATATAGCCTAATGCGTGACGTAAGTGTATTTTTATTCAATAAGGAATTATTCAAAAATATGCGGTAATTTCTGACATCTTAGGCAACAAAGAAGAGTGTGTTTACGCTTTATTATAATATTATAGATAATAATATATTAAAGATGATATGCCTGGTTTAACAGTGATTATAGTTGGAAGACCTTAGGTATATCTTTATCATTATTTTGTCATTGTATTGTCTTTGTACATACGATACGTGTTATGTAGATATTAGTTGACTTCGACATGCTTGGTGAAGCACAATGATCTCTGAAGGTCATTGCGGTTGTATCGAATGCCAACTGTGAAATCAAATTTATAATTGAATTATATGTATAGAAATCTAACGATGTAAAAAAAGAAGCATAAAATTTCTTGATCTAAAATCTCGAATAAAATCTTCATGTTTTTATTAAATAGCTAGCTTTTGCCCGCGACTTCGTTCGCGTGGAATTAAAAAAAAAACAAAATCGAGTAGCCTATATGTTCTTCCAGACTATCCTCTACGTCTATGCCAAATTTCATCGAGATCCGTTCAGCCGTTTAGGCTACAAATTCCAACAAACATCCATCCATCCATTTCTAAACTTTCGCATTTATAATATTAGTAAGATTTATCAGATTTTTCTTGATTCATTTACTAGATGTTGCTTGCGATTTCGTCCTTATGGAAAAAGTAGTTAAGAAATATAGCCTATGGTACTCAGTGATAATGTAGCTTTTTGTTGGTGAAAGATTTTTTTTAAAACGGTCCAGTTTTGTGTTATTTCAATACGTACAAAAATAAATTTTTTCCCTCTTTATTGTATTAGTATAGTTTCATTGTAATTACTCTAACTAAGCTCTAGCATTGCGCTCGGACATGGTTAATGGACATGAAAAAAATTCCGTTGGGTCGATTGAATCCAAGCAATCAACAGCCCCAAGGGAAATAATTCCCGATTTAATGGAGGACCGATCGGTCCAATGGAAAACACCTCATTTAAACCCACTATGAGCAATACCAAGAGGGGATTTTTTTGTTAATACGTAACATCAAGTCTAACAGATGTCTCGACCAATAAATTATTGCTAAGCCATCCAGTAAATTTCCGCGGATGCGTGATTAACCATAGTTAAACTGGTTTATGTGTACAATGAACATTAATTTAAAGATTCTGTTCTAACCAATTATTCCTTGTATTTATAACTTAAACTTAATTATTTGTAGAAGTTTGTTTCACTAGTCTTTGCTAACCTATACTAATAATATAAAGAGGAAAGATTTGTATTTTTGTATGAAATAACTCAAAAACTACTGGGTCGATATATAAAATTCTTTCACCATTAAAAAGCTACGTTATCGCCGAGTAACATAGGTTATATTTTTCAGTTTCACTTAGTTTATTTATTATATTTCAAGAAGTATTTTAGGATTGACTGATT